CTGTTCTTGGATTCCTCCAACAAGCATTGGTCACCCTCAGAGGCACTCAAACACTACGGACCATCACATTTGCGATCAACAGAAAGTAACCCTTACACTCGAGTTCCTTAGTGCCGTCAACGGCGCAGTTGCTGCTAGGGCTGAGACGCCTCCCAAATGGCACCAATGGCAACTCCCGAAGGTCCGCTCAACGGCGTCGACCCTAAGCCGACCAATATCAATGTGGCTAAGGCCAACGGATACCGCATGGATTATAACGGCTCTTCAACAAATGGCACCAACAGCGCCAACAGTTCCACGTCCAGACTCTTCTCGCCAGCTTCGGGTTCTCGCCCGACATCGTCTTCGTCCCGTTCTTACAGAGAGGAGCCTCCGTCCAACGGCATCAGATACAGCAAATCTCATCGTATTCCCACATTTGGACTACATGAGGAAGACAATGCCCCAAGGTCACGGGCGTATGCCAACGTCCGCACGTACGACGACGAGGCCCGGAGGCAATACCCTCGGATATCGAAGCCCGTTGAGTTGATGCGCAACAGCTACGACTGTGTGGTTATTGGTTCCGGATATGGCGGTGCCGTGGCCGCATCCCGCATAGCAAGAACAAAGGATGCAAGCGGCAAACGCCAGTCTGTTTGTGTACTTGAGCGTGGACAGGAGAAATGGCCTGGAGAGTACCCTAGTGGTGTCCTCGACGCATTTGATCAAGTCCATGTTTCTGGAGAGTTTGCCCCCGGATGGCTCCCTAGCACTACCATCGAGAGGGGTGATCCGACTGGCATGTACCATTTGATCTTTGGAAAGGGTTTAAATGCTGTTGTTGGCAATGGTAAGGATTTGCAGCCGCCGCCCTGTGGTGGGTGATGGCCTAGACTAACTTTTCCTTTAGGCCTCGGTGGAACTAGCTTGATGAACGCCAACGTCTTCCTTGAAGCAGACGAGGCTACCTTATCCATGCCTATCTGGCCCAAGGCTATTAGGGAAGATCCCAGCTGCTTGGAACAGTGTAAGCAACTCGTCACTAAGTGATCACACTACGTCCTATTAACACTGACATCCTCAATCTTTAGACTACCAAAGAGCTAGAGATGTTCTCGAGCCGACCCAGTATCCAGACGACTGGCCCGAACTCCCCAAGGTCAACGTCTTGAAGAAACAAGCTGCTGCTCTTGGCCTTTCCAGCAAATTTAAAATGGTCCCACAAACAACTAGATTCCGCAACGGCCCTAACAGTACCGGCGTGGAGATGTGCCCGTCCGCGTTGACCGGACAGGACTGCACTGGTGTAAACGACGGGTCCAAAACAACGACGTTGGTAACTTATCTTGCCGACGCATGGAACTGGGGTGCCGAAATGTTTTGCGAGTGTGAAGTCCGATACATTAAGAAGGCCGAGGAGCACATTGGAGGCTACCTCATCTTCTTCGCCTGGCATGGTCGCAACAGAGGCCACTTCAAGGCAAACCTCCACGGAGACTTGATGTGGGTGCACGCCAAAGAGTGCGTTTTTCTCGGCGCCGGTGCTATTGGCACCACAGAAATCCTTTTGAGAAGCAGAGAGATGGGCCTTTCCATGAGCTCTCGTGTTGGCGAGAACATGAGTGGCAATGGTGATATGCTCGCCTTTGGGTAAGCACGCCACTTACAGCCATGCCTATTACTTGCGTGCTAACATCTAACCAGTTACAACATGGACGAGGAGGCAAATGCCATCGGAAAGCCGTTTCCCAACCCCTATAACCCAATTGGTCCTACTATTAACTCCGTCATTGATGACCGCGAAGGCCACGAGAACCCCCTCGATGGATACGTAATTCAAGAGGGTGCAATCCCTCGTTCTCTGACGCCCTTCCTCCAGACCTTGTTGGAGATGATGCCTGGATCTGTCGAAGCCACTGGCGAGTCCTTTGCCGAGAAGGTTCGCTCCAATTTCGCCAGATACCGAAGTCACATCTTTGGCGCATATCGTCAGGGCGGCTCCATGGATAATACTCAGGTCTACCTCGTCATGTCTCATGATAGCAGCCAGGCCATGCTCACTCTCAAGGACGACAAGCCTGTTCTCGAATTCCTTGGTGTAGGACGGAGCGACCATGTCCGGAAGTTGAACGACTTGCTGGCCAAGGCAACCCAGGCCATGGGCGGTACCTTTGTCAACAACCCGTTCGCTGCGTTGATGGGAGATCAACAAGTCACTGTCCACCCCATCGGGTGAGATGCTCCCTTTTCTCGTAAATGAATAATGCTAATATCTAATAGGGGAGCGTGTATGGCTCGCGACGATACTGGCGCAACTGGCGTTACGAACGATGTTGGTGAAGTTTTTGTTGGAGATGACGATGAGACACATGATGGCTTGATTGTGACGGATGCCTCTGTCATACCTGGTGCTATTGGCGTAAACCCCTTCGCTACCATCACTGCTCTTGCCGAGCGCTCCGTCGATGCGTATATTCACAAGAGGGATCTTATGATCCACCCCAACCCCAACGGCATTCTCGATCTTTTCGGCGAACCCAAGTTCGCGCCGAAGGAGGAGAAGGACACGGTAGAGCTCAAACAAGAGAACGAAAGGATTGACAAGGCCAAGTCCCTGATCCATCATGCCAACAGGGCAAAGGCGGGTGGCTTTGGATTCACCGAGGTCATGTCAGGATTCGTTCATCGCGACGATGGGTTGATTACCGACAAGCGAGACACCTACGAGCTGGCATACCGAACTGCAAAGAGTCTCTGCGAGAGTGCCAGGTTCTTCCTCAGCGTTCAGGCCTTCAACACCAAGTCTATGATCAAGGAGCCGGACCACTCAGCCATGCTCACTGGCACGTTCGTCTGCCCTACCATCCGTGGATCCCCGTTCATGGTCCAACGTGGAGACTTCAACCTCTTCATTTTGGACCAGAAAGCTCCCGGAACGCGCAACATGACGTACGACTTTGACCTGCGTGGTGTCAATGGAGAGAAGTATCATTTCCATGGATATAAGGTGGTCGATTCATCGGTTGCTCTGGCCCCTTTCCAGTTCTGGAAGGCCACAAGTACACTTTATGTCACCATTTCTGAGCCCAGACGTGGACTGGAGGCTGGCGATAACTGCGACGAGCATTGGCGGCTCGGAAAAGTGGTCGCCAAAGGCATCATGCACATCCAGCCCGCCGACTTCGTCTCTCAGATCATGACCATGACACCAACGGGAAGCGGCCTGGTCAAGAAAGCCTACAGCGCGGCGAGTTTCCTGACTTACTTCACCCGCAAGTCACTGTCTCTCTTCCTGGCCCCATTCACCCCATTGCAATACCCGAGCGTCAACTATAACGGCTACGTCAACGACACTCCTCCAACGGCCTCGTTCGTCATTGTTGCTCGGGACAATGTCAAGACACGGATGCACATGTGGGAGTCGACCAACCCAAACATCGAGACGAAGAACCTCTTTTTGATTCCCGGCGCCGCCGTCGATCATCAGATTTACGCCTTACCCACGATCAAATACAACGCGGTCAACTACTTCACTCGCGCCGGCTACCGAGTTTTCATCACGGTACACCGCATCGGTCAGCTCATGGTCGCCCAGAACAACTGGACAACCTACGACGCCAGGTTAGACCTCCAAGCCTGCATCGAGCACATCCGTCAGGACTACTCGGACGGCAATTCCAAGGACAACAAAATCTACACCATCGCGCACTGCATGGGTAGTGTTGCATTCTCCTGCGGCCTCCTTGACGGTACCATCCCGGGATCCTGGATCCAGGGCATCACTTGCAGCCAGGTATTCATGAATCCTATTTGGAGCACGCTCAACATGGCCAAGGTCATGGCTGGTCCGATACCGCTCGACAAAATGTACAAGATGGTCCTTGGCAACTGGTTTTCTTGCAGCACCGCCAAGGATGACAGCATCCTCCAGCGTGCCCTCAACGAGCTCCTCCGGCTATACCCGGAAGAGCGCAAGGAGATCTGCAACAACGCCTGCTGCCACCGCTGTACGCTCGTTTTCGGCCGTTGCTGGAACCACGCCAACCTCAACGAGGCTACCCATAGACAGATGGACCGCTTCTTTGGCGGCGTCAACATGACGCAGCTGCACCTCCTCATGAAGCAGGGCTTCGACGGGCATGTCATGACCAACGGGCCCCTTTTCCAGCCGCTCACGACGCCGCAGAACATCCGCAGGCTGCGGGGCATCCCAATCATGCTCTTTGTCGGCCGCGACAATGCTGTTCTCACGCCAGAGGCGACGGAGAGGACGTACGAGATCCTCTGCGACACTTTTGGTTCTCATGGTAGACAGCTCGACGCCGGTGCTCCGGCTGGAATCCAGTACCGCCGCCGTGTCGTTCCGGGCTACGGACATTTGGACTGCTGGATGGGTCGCAACGCATGGAAGGATGTGTACCCCTTCGTTCGCGAAGAGGTGGACCGCGTGGTGCGCGGGGAGGACTACCACTTCGTCGACCCAGACGACAAGTTCACTAAGATGGTGGAAAGCGGCGAGCTACTGTACTAAAAGGTGACGGTGGTTACCGACATAGGAAATTGTACTTTTTACGCGTGCGATGTATTTGGGAGTCTCTGGGAGACGCGGGAATTGTACATCGATACCCTTCGTTTGAGCGCTGTATTTTGGGAGTTCGGAAAGAGGCGGGAATCCAAATAGTCTGGGAATTCATGCGCCGTGCATCACTACGCCGAGTAGTGGTCTCATATAGAATATGAATTGCTTTCTCTGACATCTATCGTTCCATTGAATACGTCGTCAAAGGTTACCCGGACTGAGTAAACAAACCCAAACCATCAGATAATGTACATTTACGCCTCTCCCAATTTCCCATAGTCATACTAGCCGTACACACATTATAGTCCCACCGTAAACCTTTTTCCCGCTTTGAAACACTTCATAAATACCTTCCGAAAAGTTTGCAAATACTTGCCCAAACCGAAAACAAGGGGACACTCGGTACTCATACACAAGAGGGCACGAAGGTCCCCTAAGCCTAAAACATCTCCGTCAGGGGTTTGACGTAGTTTGCTTCCAGCGCATCCCAGTCTACCACACCGGCCTCCCGATCGGCGACCTCGGGTTCACGGAACGACTCGTCGTAGACTAACCGTGTGTCGTCGCGGTAGATGAAGCTCTGCCTGTGCCACTCCTCCTCGCTCGGGGGATCGACGCGGGCCAGGGCAACGTCGAGTTGCTCTACAACGCCCTTCGAACCGGGTGTCTGCCCGTCGTCCTCCCAGGCAACCCACGCCGTCGTCCGACCTCCTTCGACGTCTATCTTTGTGGAAGACGGAACCCACTCGAATGTACCGGTAGTGCGCTCTGGTGCGGTGATCTCAATGATCTGCCCGCGGCGCCTCTTTTGTTGGTAGCTGGCCGATGAAGATGTGGACGTCACCACACGGCTCAACTTAACTTCAAAAACCCCTTGAGTTGTTGCGAAACCGCCTCTGGCAAAGCCGAGCCACTTCGTTAGATGCGGCCGAACAGTCCATTCCGTCCCTGCTGGAGCCAGGAGTTGAATACCCAGAATCTCGCTAGTAAGCACCGACGTAGGACCCGAAGACCAGCCATGGCAGTGAGAATTGCGAGCAGCAGACCAATACGCAGGGTACTGTATGCCGCCGTCAACGCGGAATCCCTCAGCAAGCGTCGAGTTTGTGAATCCGGGTCCTTCGAGCAAGTAGGACCACTCAAGTAGCATCAGCTCCACGGCCGCATCGTGGTTGTCGGCGGCGGAGTGTGCGAGGAGCTCGAATGAAGATACAAATGGCGAAATGACGTTGGGAAACTCGACGGCAGGGGCGCCATGCTTGGTCCACCGCGCCTGTAGGTTTCGAGAGACTTCCAACCCCCGAGAGTAGTGTGTTGCACCTGAGATGAGGGCCCAGCTATTGCCGTCCTGGGGGTCGGTATGCTCTGGACCCCTACAGCTTCGTCTGCCGATGTTGTCCGAGTAAAGGCCCGTGTCTTTGCAGAACAGCTGTTGGAGTCCGGCGTTCATGACGATACGCAGTCCTGTCCATACTCCATGAGGCCGCGCCGCTGGGCTGTCGTCTCCGAGCCATTTGGCCAATTTGACGCTCTTACCCAAGACCGTGCTAAGGATGGCGCTGGCTTCGAGATTATGGCCTGTCATGCCGGGGCGCAGCCAGTCGGCGCCGCTAGTGACGTGCATAAGACCGGTATGGTCGACCTTGTCGATGCTTACATTGAGAGCCTTAAGGTAATTTGGCCAGCGCTTTGCAAGCCACTCCACATCTCCAGAAAATTTGACATAGTTGTACGTGCCCAGCAGAGTGTGTAAGTGGTAAGTGTCACTAAACTCTCCGCGAAACCCCAGGGGGGGACCCGCCCACGGCAGTGAGCCGTCTTGATACTGGTGATCATAGATCACATCGAGAGCATTGCGCACCGCAACCATGTCGTATGTACTCATGGCGATTCCCGGCACGGCAATGTACATGTCGCCTGGCCAGACGATGCGGTCGCGCTTTGCACCGTCCGTCGTTACCGCTGTCCCGTTCGCGACGGTGAAATTGGAGTACCAAGACCCAGTCGGAGATTCGTTGTGGTCAACGTTACGGTTGTAGTCGATGATTGCTGATCCTTCCTTGGGGTCGATGGTAGACAGCTGAAGTGTGTATGCACCAGCGTACCAGATCCGATTAAGCATGTTGCTAGAGCTGTGGAAGTATCCTGAGTAGGCCCGACCGTTGGACTGGGAAGGAAATGCGGTGCAGTTCACCCAGAGACCCTTAAGCGTCACCCACGGCTTGTCATACGGGTTCCTTTCGGCAGGGTCCAAAGGCGCCTGATCGCCTCCCAGTACGGCCTGTTCATCTCTAGCTTGCCTTACAATTACTTCATCTGGCAGAACTGGATATTCCGGCATTTGCAAAGTGAGGTACTTGAAGGCACCCCTTATAAAGTCTTTCCCCACGCATACGGTGCCGGTATTCCCGTCGAACTCGAAATGTAGGGGCAGGTCTCGTTCCCGTTGCTCAGTCGTGGTGTCCGGGAGCGGTCCGGCGAACAGGGAGGACTCGGAGTATGCTAGGAAGATCTCGGGGTCGTTGCCGGTAGAGGAAACATCGAAACAGACGCTGTAGGGCGACAGAAATTAGCCGGAAGACTTCAATGGTGGGAGAGGCGTGAGGAGTGGATACCGTCCAGAGATGTTTTCCTCGAATTCCAGCGTCAGCAAGCCGCCGGGACCGATTGTGACGCCGTGTTCCAAGATATGCGCCGCGGCCGCCCCAACTTCCACTGGCCGGTGGGATGTCGTGATGTTGCCCTCGACATCCCAGATGCGGGACGGGACGATGTAAGTCTTATCTTCTGGTGCCTTCACATATCGCTCCCAAGGACCTCTAAAGACGGGCTCTTTGGGGAGGGAATCCGGATTGATGAAGGGCGGGCGCACTGCCGCCAGGACGGTCGGCGGCGCAAGAATGACGAACGAGGCCCATTGCGCATGTGGCGTGGTAAGCTTCATGGCTCAGCCGGGAAGTCGCCAAAGTTAAAGTTAGATGTCGACAAGAAAGAAGGAAGAGGAATCAGAAGCGTCGGAATTGCGATCGGCTCGTTGAGGCCATCCGGACAGTTATATTTGGCGCCGTTGTCAGGTGCGGTTGGGAGAAGACAGATGCGGACGGTCCTGTTGAGAGGAAGACGCACGAGCTCTGTTGATGTGCGTGTGTTGCGTGTGCTAAGTCCGTTGCAGAATCGGGGGAGGTGCTATGGTTTGGTCACCACCCACCACCACCTCCCTCACTGCAGCAGGGAGGGCAGTAGCCATTGGATGCCGAGCTACCCCGCGTCCCCCCGCCTGCACCCCGGTCGCTGATCACCAGGAACTTAATGCACCATCCGAAGGGACCCACCCAACGTCCGTTTGTTCGACCCAGAGACCCGAGACGTATCAGTGTACTTTGGAAACATGACAGGCAGGCTTTTCACTTATTCGTATGCGCCAGCGGACGCGTACCGCGGGAGGCAGAAATTTTCATAAGAGTGGGCTAGGTGACGACAATTGGTATCACGGAAATGATATAGTGGATCTTATAGATGAGAAAGCTTGACAACTGACGTCGAGGCTCACGTCGAAGGTGTGTCGAAATGCAATCGTTAGAGAGCAGTAAATGGACCCTTGCTTTTTATTTTCTCAGTGAGCTCCCCAGAGATCATTTCTATTCTATATCATGTCCGTATATGATTACTTGTCAAGCCGTTGCGCCGTCATCTATCATGCGTCTAGCCCATCCAACTCTATCAGCTTTCCAACCATTTGAATAACTTCGTTGTCTGTGAGGTCCAGTCCTGGATTCTCAATCTTCAGCGCAATAACGTCATCAACCATACCACGAAGCCTCGATACCAGGACCCCTAGTCGCGCCCAGCCTCGGAGCCGCACCCATTCATCCACTATCAAGCCTCTTCCTAGGGTATCCAGTGTGATTGCTCCCGAGAACAAGAGCAGGGTATAGGAGTTGAAAGCTGAGGGAGGTTAGTAAAGATGTATTGGAAGCGCCCGAGCCGCAGGTTGCTTACGTGTGAGGTCTCGAATGAACGTCTTGCTTGTAGAAATCATGGTGAAGTAAGACATGAATGTCGCGTTACCGGAGAATCCCTGGCTGTCAAATAGCGTACTGCTTGGGTGCACAAACACCCGTCCAGTCTCTTGCGAAAAGTATTTGATCATTCGTGCCTCGGGATCCAACTCCTTGGCGCCTGAAACCGTGCTAGTGAATTTCTTGTCAGGATACTGGATACGCGCGATTTGCGGGCTGAACGCTGAAGCCGTGAGCGCGCGGAGTAGCGTCATTCCGGATCTACTCTGGCTTTGCAAAGAGTTGACATCCTTTGATCCGACAATGCCAATCTCTCGAAGGGCCGAGTAGTACTGCATCCGCGTAGCCGAGATATCATTGAGCGTCAGATACGAGAGAAAGTTCTCGTCGCAGAAAGACCGCAGTTGCCGCTGGCCTACACCGTCGTATCTCATCTGTTCCCAATGCCGGAAAGCCTCGAGGTCGGTGAGAAGATCACCGTCGCCCTTCGAAAACCGCATTCGCGCCTCCTTCGCTTCATTCCTCCTTTCGGAAGGTGACAAGAACGGACTGCGGGTGCTGAGTATAGCCGCGATAGTTACACAATCATCCAAACATCCAAAAATGGCGCCATAAACCATAAGTTTCGCGCATCGAAGGTCTGCAGGAATCATGGCGAGCTGCTGGCCCAAGGCGGTCATTTCTTCCCCATCCATAGCGCCTATTCTTTGCAGAAGCTTGATTGCTCCTTCAACAGCAGTGCCTTCAGGGGGAGTGGGTGACCGGGCAAGGAATGCAGCCACGTCCCTCATACCCATGGCACGAACCGAGAGACACATCTGCTCCAGAGGCACTCGCCTGATCTCAGGCTCTGGTCGTTCTGCCATTTGTTGCTCAAGGTTTCGTGTGTAGAGCTTGTAGCATTTGCCAGCTTGAACTCTGCCTGCACGACCACGGCGCTGTTTGCATGCTGCCTGGGAGGCCCAATTCTCCTCGAGCTTCCGCATGTTGTTAACAGGATCATAGGTGGTCTCCTTCACCTTGCCACTATCGATCACAGCAACGATGTCGTCGATGGTGATAGATGTCTCGGCAACGTTTGTAGCGACCACAACCTTTCTCTTCCCTCCTGGTGGTGCAGCAAATACGCGTTTCTGCTCTTTCGTCTCCAAAGACGCATGGAGGGGGAGCACATGCAGTGAGGAGTTCGACTGGAGCGCTCTGCATGTCTGGTTGATTTCCGCGACACCAGGCAGAAACACGAGAATGCCGCCCGACTTCTGAGCGTAGGAAAGTTCCGAGTCAATGGCTCTCACTGTCTCGTTGAGGAGACTGTAGTTGATACGAGCGCCCAGCTTTTGAATGGTCTTTCCCATCGAGTCGCCTCGCGCGTCGTCAAAGTCGCCAACATCGCCGCCGAGACCCGTTAAACCGATGATATCGTCCAGGTAGTAATCTTCGACGGGATACGTCCTGCCAGAGATTTCTACCAAGCCGACGCTGAGACCCTGTGACGTGAAGTAGCTCTTGAAAGAGGCGGCGTCTAACGTAGCACTCATGAGCACCAACTTCAGGAGGTTCTTTCGCGTCTTCAGGACCTCTCTCACAATGGTCAGAAGGAAATCTGTATCCAGGCTGCGTTCGTGGACTTCGTCAATAACAATGTGACTGACATCTGCAAGAGAGGCAATGACGTCTTCAATCCGGCCACCGGATGTTTGCAGTCTCCTGAGAAGCACACCAGTCGTCACAAACGTTATGCGAGTCTGGTTGCTTCTGCGATTCTCTCCACGAATGGCGTATCCAACTTCATCTCCGACTCTGGTGCACCGCTCCTCTGCTACACGGTCGGCCAAGCCAAGTGCAGAGATTCTTCTGGGCTGTGTGACGAGCATGTTGGCACAGTTTCCCAGGCCTCTGCTGTATAGTTCGTCCAGGATGAATTGCATTGACTGCGTTGACTTTCCTGAACCAGTTTCACCACTGATGATCGTAACGTGGTTCTCATCTACGATACGCACGATGTCTTCTTGAACTTGCCAGGCTGGAAGTGTCTTTCGCTTGGATATCATCTTCTGCCATGACGGATCCTCCTGTCTCTTGAGCCACTCTTCGCGGGTTCGAGGATCAGGCTTCCACATAATCGGCTTTGGGGGCCGCTGGGATCGAGGCCCAGTTCTGCGAGGCCGGGAGTCACTCGGGACCTCTGAAGCAGTAGAGGCAACAGCAGCAATATCGAGCAACTTTCCAGGTCGTTCTATGATGTCGTTGATGTTTTGTTGGATCCGGTCGATGGCCACGAAGATCTTCATAGGCTCCTCGCGATACGACTCGTCCAGATACGCAATGGTTTGCTTGATGATGGACAGCTTGATCTGCGCTGGCAGCTGGGCAACGACGGAAAAGACTAGTTGGGCAGGGTAATTAGGTGACTTTCGCACTCTGATAGCAGCATCAACGGACTTGCTCCCGTTTTTGACTGACTCCAACTTGACCTGGATGATGTCGGGATCAATCTTTTTGAAGTGGTCGCCAAAAGACGACTCCATGGCAGTCACTTCGTCTTCCCAAAGCTCCTCAGCCGTCATACCTGGATACAGCAGATCGTCTGCCTTCATAGGCGCGTCTGCCGAGACTTGTCCGATGAGGCGTTGTTGCAGCATTTCAGCCGCTCTAGCCTCGCTGTTGCCGGCCTCCTCGAAAACCCGCGCACACAAGTCGAGGGCGTAACCTGACTCCGATAAACGTTTGATCGCGGCTTCCTTCTTGAGATCCATCGAAGCGACCGAGATGCCTGCCGCGTAACTCTCAGGCAGTGCCCACGGTGGCAAATCATCCTCGGGAACATGAATCAACAGCCACTCGAGGGTCTCTTCGCGGTCTTTACAGATTTCCGTTGCTTCTTCCACATGGCTCCGTCTGAATGCCAGCTTGCTTAGCTCATCAATGATGCTCTTCCGCATAGCAGCAGACATTTGGACCTTGTTGGGATTCCAGACCACGTATTTCTGAATGAGAGCTTCGATCTGTGTCCTCGAGCGCTTGCCCATTTCAATCTTGGGAGCTTCGGTCCATCCCTTCATCAAATTCGCCCCGCCAGGACCATTGCCAATAACCAGGCTTGATGCGCCCGGCCTGGTTTTTGCCCTCTCCCTGGCTGCTTCAGCTTCCTTTCGTTTCTTCTCCGCGGCGGCTTTGGCATCTTGTCGGTCCTTGAGTGTCTTGAATGGGTCTGCATCGTACATCCAAGCCTTGCCGTCCTTTACGTCTTGCTTCTTGATTTCTTGAAAATCTTTCCACAGAGATTTGTAGTCAGGGGGAAGCACGGTGTGCTTGTTCTGCATGCTACACACTCTGAAGAGAGCATAGGTGGCGGCGCAGTGCCTCGCCTCCAGCGCGGTAGGTCTGGTGACCAAATGCTTGAAGTCGGGATGGATCTTGAAAGGGTCCAAGGTCGTCAACTCCCGAGTCTTCAGGTCCTTCGCAGCAATAGTCACGAAGCATGCGTAACCTTCAGGGGTTTTCCGGACATCGTAGACCGGCTTCTCCCACTGTTGCTTCTGGCAGAACTCGTTGAAAAGGTTTACTGGCAGCTTTCCAGTCCAGGACGATCCGCCAATGATCTGCTTCACAGTCGGTTTTCCAGCCACAGGCCCAGCAGCCTGCTCCATAGGAGACGGGCCGCCATTTTTGTTGCCTTTGGCACCGTCTTTGGCCGATGAAGCAGCAGGTTGTGCTGCTGGGGCCGGCGCGGTGGCCTTGTCCTTTCCTTTGCCTTTCTTGACCATTGTCGTCGGTCAGTCGCTCAGTGTTCGGCTGAGGCGTTGTCAGCCACGCAAGGCGGCGTTCCGATGAAGGGTCGAGAATGCAACCGAGTGACTGACGCGATTGGCAGCGCCGAGTGAAGAGATGTCGGGAATTTTTGATTCGCCCAGAGGTGTCGCTGATTGGTGAAGCTGCATCAGCGGCGGTTGCAGAGACGGCATGCAATGAGCGCTCAGTGACCTTGGCGCCCCGAGAGAATGATGGCGAGCGCCGTAGGGCGGAGCACGGCTGCTCCTGCAGCTACCCCGCTGTGGGTAAACCTCCTGCCGACTTCCCCAAATCCCCCTCCGCCTTCTGTTCCTTACCTCATTCAACCTGTCGATGCTGGTAACAGGCAGCGTGCTCCGTGGCGCATTCGCGCAGTCATAACTGATATCCTCAGCCTTGATACACGCGTGAGTCACCAGCACCGGCCTTGACTCTGTTGAGGATGGCAGGCTGAAGCGACAGCTTTGGCGAGGAGCGAAGCCAGTCTTTCTGTGGTCTTGAACCTAAACTCCTACTTTCATACCTGCAATCATGGCCGGGGCCTCCTCTGATCCAGAGGATGCCATCACCCAGGACGAGATCCAAGGGACAGCTCCGGTCCCAAAGGCCCCGAGGAACGCCTGTGCGTCTTGACATGCTCCGAACTCTAGCTCGCCGTACTGACATGATCCCGCACAGTCACGGAGCTTATGACCCGAAAGCGCAAACCCGAACCCGCAGTCGAGAACCCAAAAGCGTCGCGCGGGAGATCGTACAAAGCCCGAGACGGTCTCGGCGTCTACATCGACAATTCAGCCTCTCACCCGCCCTCACGCGTGATATATCACAATGACGACTTCGTCGCGATCAACGATCTCTATCCCAAGGCCAGCGTTCACACCCTCCTGCTTCCCCGATCACCGGCGCACAATCTCCTCCACCCCTTCGAAGCGTTTGACGACGTCGAATTTCTCGCGTCTGTACAAGCAGAAGTCCTCAAGCTGAAGGAGCTGGTGGCCAAGGAGCTGCAGCGGCGATTCGGGAAAGACAGCAAAGCCGAGGCGGCGCGTGAGGCCGTCCTGAATGGCGTCGTCGAGCCTGAGGGCGATGAGTTGCCTCAAGGCCGTGACTGGCAAGCTGAGGTCATCACGGGAGTGCACGCACATCCCAGCATGAACCATCTCCACGTCCATGTCCTCTCACGCGACATGTACTCGGATTGCTTGAAGCACCGCAAGCACTACAATTCCTTCAACACTCCCTTCCTAATCGACGTTACCGATTTCCCGCTACCACCCGACCACCCTGGTCGCGCGGGAGACCTCTTGAAGAGGGACTTTACGTGCTGGAGGTGCGGTCAAAACTTTGGGAACCAATTCGCAAGACTCAAGGAGCATCTCGCCGTCGAGTTTGCCGAATGGAAAAAGGAATGAATTCACTAGAGGCAGTATCAAAGGAGCATAGAGCAAGCAGCATCATGCATGAGAAGCTATATCGGTTCCCCAGCTCGCAAGCATGGCGAGACCCAGCTTTAGAAGAGAATTACAGATAGAATAGTCTTGTATTCAGCAAGTAATGGTATCTCGGTAATGGTCGAACTCTCATGTGCTTAGCGGTCCGCGAGCGGAAGAAAAAGACCTCGACACCATGTCTGAGCAAACTCGGAAGCGATACCCCAACGCCTTTCGTTTCTTTTGGAAACCCATTAGACCAAATCCCTAGACCCTTGTGTAGAAGTACATTGCCCCGTTCATCCGTTTACTGTGTGGTAATAGCGGTCAGCCGAAAATTCCTCCCATCATCCTCGACCAGGGGGAGCGACGCACCTCCTCGGCAGAGTCCTCGGCGTTCGAGGGCGACTTTACGCCGGCATCTTCAAGGTCCTTGGCTGCGCATTAGTGAGCCAATGCCTTTCCACTTTGGCCAGTCGGCGGAACAAAAAGGGGGCAGACGTGTGTATGTATGCGCGTTTTTGCGAAAAAAGCAGAGGTCGAGCTAACCTTCCTCTTCGGATGAAGACGACTCCGCCGCAGGGGATTCCTCCTTGTCTTTCGTGGAGGCGTCGCTCTTGCGGCCCTTCTTCTTGGTCTCCTTCTTAGGGGTCGGGGCGGCGGCGGACGCGTCGGACTTGCGAGGGCGACCGCGACGGCCAGGGGTGCCGCTCTTCGCGGGGGTCTCAGAGGCCTCGGCGACGGCAGCTTCGACGGCGTCCTTCTTGGGCCTGCCACGGCCTCTGCCGGTCGAAGCAGCGGGCTTCTTGGGCGTCGTGGCCTTCTTGACGCCTCCGCTTCCCTTGGGGCGACCGCGAGGACGGCCTGTGGGAACGTACACCTTCTTCTCGCCAGGGACCTTGGGGGGTCTGCCGCGGCCGCGCTTGACGGGCTCCTCAGTCGTGGGCGCCATCGCGTGTTTTGGTATGTGTAAACGGTTGGGAACTCAATGGAAGAAAATTGACTAAAAAAATGCCAAAATTAATAATACGAAAGACGAGACAAGTGCGACGCTTGTTCAATTCGTCGTGCAGCCTTTCTTCCGTGGTGAGTAAGAGGGAATTGGTGAGTTAGTTGTGTTGAGGAAAGAAAAAAAAGGGAAGAGAAAGACAGAACGGGGAAGGAGGACTGATGGTTTGGCATCTCCAATTGTGTGCAGCAGCTCAGGTAGGTGCCTTACCTTGCAGCTGTTAGACCAGCGCGGGAAAAAGCGCGCTGCAGCGCGTGTTGGCGTCGCTGGAGCTAGGGGACACGCTCCGGGGTAGAGAGCCGCTAGTTCAAAAGGCCCCAGCTTGTGGAGAGCTCTTTGGCTAAACGCCGGGTAGTACCCCGGACGTGCTTTGGGCGCCTTTGGAAGGTCCCCTGCCGCCATCTGCAGCTCGCCTTCTTACATGCTGCAAACCTTCGTCTACACATAAAGGACAGAAGAAAAGAGCTGTGTTCCCGCGACACACTTCGCTAATTGCCTGTCTCGACTCCGACTGAACTGGCCACCTCAATCAAGGATCCCAGGTGGATGCGCCGATCGCGAACGCAGTAATTTAGCAACAACGATGCGTACGCGAAAAGCATAGTTTGAAACAGGGATTCGTACAGAATCGTGCGATCTGGGCACGGTCGCATGCTTGCTTTTTGTGTCAGTACGATACTTCTCTTGAGCAATGCCGCTTGTGGTATTTCACGTATGCAGCGACTGAGAACCGGGAAAAGGTAGTGCTCTTCATAGAAGCAGCGAGCATGGCCAATTTGGCGTCTATAGCTAGGAAAAATAGACAGTGTGGCAATATATCGGTCACAATTTTGGGCAAGAACTTGGTTCTCATGGTTCCAGGTAACGACAAGCTTTTTTGGTAATTTTACACCGCACTGAACGTTGGCGTCAGGCCCAGTGTGCAATTATGATACAATGCTTTTGTTTCGTCCTTCCTAGTCTCATACAAGGAGTATCTTCTGGGCTTCGTTTCGTCCCGTCTAGACATCTCCGCTAGTCGTTCATGAACACACGATATGTGATCTTGCTCATGCCCGCCTAGTACGGCGAATGGTGCGCGCAGGTTTGCTGTTATCCTACTCGGCAACCTTGGTCTTGACCTTGCCGCTGGCACCGCTCTTGACGCGCTTGGCGACGGGTCGGTTGAGGTGGTGCTCGGGAATCCAGCTCTCGTCAAAGTCCTTGCCGGTAGAGGAGGCAACAGCGGTGGTGTCGGCCTCAGCCAAGGGGACGGTGACGTTCACCTGGCGAACCTTCTTAGCGGTCTTCGCCTTCTTGGCCTGTGGGAAGAGGGCCTCGATCCAGGTCTTGTAAACGAAGTAAAGGGTACCAGCAAAGGCACCGGTCAGGAAGAGGTAGAGGAAGATGCTGTTGCAAGTGTCAGCATATAACAATTGATGCGCAGCCTAGGGGCCAACCTACATCTGGGGATCGAAGATGCTGGTGGGAGGCTCAACAACGGCAGCGGTTGCGTTGTATGCCTGGACCTGGAAGATATCGCCCTTGGAGTTGCTGACGACAGCAACGAGCTGAAGAAGAACATCCTGGGGCTGCATGTCGAGAGCGAAGGAGTAGGGAACAGCCTTCTTGTCACCCGCCTCGACGGTCAGGTCGTAGCGCGCAGACGTGAGGTTGCGGAGGATGGCATCGCTGGGATGAGCATTCTCAGCCAACTCCTGGGTTGTAGTCAGAAGACCACCGACCATGGCGACCTGAATTGGGGAGTCCTCATGGTTGGTGAACTCGATAACGGCCTTGGTGGGACGACCGTTGACGAGCTTGACGCCAAAGATATCAGCCTCGGGGAAGGTAGCGGCAATGTCGGCCTTCAGAACCGGAGCGGTGGCATCGGTGTCGACCTGCACACGATTAGAGACAAAAGGCAATGGCGGCGCGACTCTTGAGTCGTGAACTCACAGGAGGCGCCTCCTCGGCAGCGAACGCGCCAAGGATGGGCAGGGCCAGGAGGGCCAGAAGAGACGACTTGAAGTAGACCATGGTGGATGACGGGTAGCGGCAGCGACAACAAGCAACAATTGAATGCGACTTGACCAAGTCAACAATCGCAATCAATGATGAAGGGTGGGGGGAGGGAAAGGGAAAGAAGGATGGAGGAGAAGAATTAGATGCGAGCCAAAGGGGGAAGAACCAACCCGATACAGACCGTGTCGCTGCGGGTGCTGATGTGTCACTTTGGCAGGCGACGGGACGGAAAAAATAGAGTGTGCGCCCACGGTTGAATCAGCAATGTGGCCTCACACGACTTGATCCACTGGAGAAGGCAAAGCACGAGAGATACCTGGGCTGCGGCCTAGCCTGGAAGTGTTCCATTAGATGGAGCTTCGTGCTATTGGCCAATCATCACATCAATTGACATGCGGAGCTCTGGAGGCGCAGGTGCCACTTGGAGAACCCCCCAGCCACCTGCCCGGGCCCGAACCAGGAATGCGGAGCTCGGGGACCTTAGCTTCAGCACATCTCATCTAGGTAGCTCGGAACAAGGGAGCTCCTACTTTGAGGCATCATCGTTCTGCTTAGGTATGGTACGCTTCTCAGGAGAAGACACACACACAAGACACGAGACAGCAAAACATAGCAATGGGCATCGCAAAACCCAGAGTCTTTCTCAAGATACCATAGTCATTGCCTCAATACTGAACCAACTACCGAGACGCCGCCTGCTTGGCCTTTTTCAGCTAAGCTCTGGCTCAACTGTAACAGTACATAGAAAATGCAAATTCCCTTTGCAAAAGAATTATAACTCATACACAAGTTAGTGGTGCCTCGTTCCAAAAGCCCCCTGAGGCAGCTAATCCCATAATCTTTGTTTCTCCATCATCTATGCCACTCCCTGCTGCCTTTCTCGGTTGCTTTTGGTGGTTCTGGTTGGCTCCTGAAAGCCACGCCCATTGCCTCTGTATGCCTTGCCTTCTAGGGGAATCATCCCACCTAACGCCGTAAACATGCTGGACTCGGATGAAACGCAAATCGACGAGGGCCAACCGAAAGAAATGAAAGGCTATCAAGCCGAAAACCAGTCGTGGATATCGTCACATCGTCCAAAGTCATCAACAGACCGTCTCGCCGGTCGTAAACATTGCTTTGAGTAAAGTTGCGCGTCATTGCCGGGGTAGTCGTTGCGTGTCGAGTCGGGTGCGCGTACCCGTTCGTGATATTAAAATAGTAGCAGCGGCAGTTGTCGCATTCAACATCGTTCAGAAGAAAAAAAGTTTGTCGAGTCGGGCCATGGGCCTCGTTGGTGTCCCCAATAGAACCCTCTCGCACGATGCGCGGTTGCTGATCGAGTACCATTGTCCTACTAGCCCGAGAACTCGACAGCCTTTGCATGGGCAGCGTTGCTGTCAAGGTCGCCAAAGTCGAAGGCCGATGCGCGGCCGACGGAGTAGCGGAATGGCAGCGTGAAGCCCTTGGCCAGTTCCGCCTGAACGTACTCAGCGGCACGCTTGTATCTCTTGTCAGAGTACTTTTCAAAGACGGCAAGGTGGTGCTTGCGAGGATTATAACAGCATTCCAAAACCATAGAGACCAGATTCTTAAGCTGGGCCCAAGTGTATCCAGAGTAGTGAACGTGTGCCGGGGTCTGGCTTGTGTTAGCAGCGCTCATTTCCAGAAGTTATACCGGTCAACTTACCCAGTCGCCCTTCTTCAAGATCAGTCGAGACAAGCAGTGCGCAGCGGCAGCGAGGAAGCTGGGAGGACTGGCGACGAAGCGCTCATCCATGATGGTGACTTCGAGGAAATACTTTGCCAGCGTGCGCGTCTCGAGGTCATAGTCATCCGCCTTACTAACCCTTCGCAGAAAGCTCATCGGACCAGGGAAGCCAAGCTCGAAGCTCAGCATGCTGAGCATGAAACGCTCGGCCTTGAGAATCTCGTCAATTTTGTAGCCGTTGTCAACCATGAAGACAATCTCCTGCAAAGATGGACAGTTGATCTCCTCGTATTTGGAGGCAACAAGCAGAGCGGTAGCGCCCACTAGTTGAAGCTTGCCAATAGAGACAACCTTGTATGAAAGGAAGCGGTCGATGTAGTTGACCGTGAGGAAAAGAGTCTCCGGCAAGAGACTGAATCGGTGGTGGACTTGGATCAGCCAGTCCATCAGGACTGAGCGCATGGACCACTGGATCTCGGCTTGGTGGTCCATGTAGTGAGGGTCGGGCAGCATCTTCATCTGCGCAACAGTCAGTCAGCATTGAACGTCAATTGCAAATAGCCGCCGCCGAACGCACCTCAAGCTCCCTCATGTACTCAAAAATGTCGTCGCCGTACTCTGCCACCATACAGACATCCCAGATCTCGTCGTCGACCTCCTCTTGGGTACGGGTACTCTCAACAATGGCCCGGGCCGTCTCCAACTCTTGTTGCACCTTGTCAGTAACCTTGGGAGCCAACACTGTGGTAGCGCCGCCAGTGGTGAGATCACCCCGGGATTTGTACGAGTGGGCAGTCGTGTATCCCTGGTCGTCGTAGAGCTCCTCCTCCTCTTCCTCGTCCCAGTATTCCTCCGGCTCCGACAGCACGGGGGCAGCAAGGGCCGAGTCGACGGGGACATTGTCGTCCTGGAAGTCAACCTCAAGGGGGCGGGCATTTTCAGCGACCTCCAAGGAGCGCCTGTTGTATGGGCCGTGGTATTGTTCATCGCCAATATGTTCGACAGCATCCTCGTAAGCAGCTTCGGTCACATCATCCATTGGCTTCCAAGATTCTGTTGTGGCTCCTGGCTGTGTTGAGGTTGTGGACAGCTTGCTCTTGGTGCGCCTCAGCAAGTGCATTGCAGGCTCATTCTTAAGCTGAGGCTGGGACTTGTACTGTCGAGGCTGTCTGCTTGACTCTGCTGTGGCGTCTTGTGCCATGTGCTTGCTCTTTGAGGGTCTGGCGTCCAAATGGGCTACAGAGGCCCG